CCCCTTTCCCCCCTCCTCTAACCCCCCTCCCTTACCCCCTTCTTACCAGCATGGAGTCCGGGTCCAGCTCCCTGCGGCAGCGAGAAGCGACTGACCGAACCTCTGAAGCTCTCTGAATCTTTTCTGAATCTATTTGGAGAGCTTTGAATTGATTCAGACTTTTTAACTGGTCCCCTGATTCGATTTGGGTTCAGAGATTCGGCCACTGAATCAGGCCAAATCTCCTCCAAATCGAATCAGCACCTGAAGTTTCGCACAGCCCTAATAATAATGTGCCATTAAGTCAGTTAACCCCATCAGCTGTGCCTGAATAGAAATGTGGCTGTCCCTTCTGGGAAGTCTGCAGGAATCAAAGGGGGCTGTAACGCCAACACCAGCACCCCTTCTCACCCCCCAGATCTGTCCCTGCAGACATCCTTTACAAGTCAGCTTTGTGCAAGACCTATTAAGTCAAACAGCCATATTTAACAACAGAAAATTTTATTTCTTACAGCCATAAGAAACAGCTTTTACTTCAAGTCCTGACAGCTCTGACTCAGAAGAGTATCCTTATTCACAAAAGGACTTACAGACTTGAGTAAGTATTTTCTTCAGTTATGGCTGACAGTTATGGTCCATTACTGTGAAATGTTTCGTTAGAGGAAGCTAAAGAGACTTTATTTTCCTAATGAGGCTTTTACCTTAGCTGCCACAGAAATGGGAATTTGAAGAGGTGTGGGAGAGGCAGCTTTGGACAAAGCCATTAGGAAGGGGAGCAATACAAGGGGTTTCTATACATACATGTTGTGTAAGTGCCCCTCAACATATTACTTGAGCAGGAGTTAAATGGATAAAAGCTTTGAGCTACTCCTCCACTCAGGCATATGTGTCATTCTTTCGTTGTTAGAAGAAATGATACAGTTTCATTAAGAAAATGTTGGATTTAAAGAATTCATAAAATCTATTAATGAGTGACATTGTCTAGTACAAGATTTCTTTCTTTCATTATTTTATTCCACTATTAATTAATTGTATTATAGTAACACCTAGAAGTCCCAACCATGGACTAGGACTTTGTTGTGCTGTGTTGTACAAACACAGAATGTAAAGCTGGCTTCTGCCCTTAAGATCTAACAATTTAAGTATCAGATGTAAGACAATAAAATGGAAGGAGTACAAAGTAGCAATGAAGTGAATTTGGGACCTGTATGCTTGTGGAGGGTACCAAATTGACAATGGTGTTTCCTGATATGAAAGGATCACTCCTCTCTGGATAAGAGAAAAATTACATTCATTCAGTTCTGGATTTTCTGCTAAGACTAACAAGGTTGCCAATTACAACAATAATTTCTGTGATCCTCACATCTGGACTGAGACCAACACAATATTACATTTCGGTAGCTAGCAGGTTTTGGTCACTGCTACAACACATGCCCAGATAGCTCTCTGCAACTTATCAGCAAGTGTTCTGTAGGTTGAAGTGTGGAACCCACTAAATAAGAGTAAATGATAAATGTGCATGATCTTCCTTTGACATATTGAGTTGTCGTCTTCTCTGAAGCCTTGATAACTTGATGTATTAGTTTAGTCTCTCTCTAATCCAGTCTTGATGTAAAAGGGCCAGGCTGGAATAAAGGAACACTAAAAACCTTGGATCTGACTTGATGAGAATTTTCCCAGTACAGGGATTGAAGAAAACAGTCACTTGCAAACCCTGATGTAGAGGCTTTGTCAGGCATAGGCTAGGAGGACTTACCAATGCCACAGCATGAAGCCCTGTAGTGATTCTGGGCAGTCCACTTCTGCCTATCAGGAGGAGGGCACAGGTTGCCAGAACTGTATGCTATTGGAGCCTCCTTCATGCGCCAGAGCTGCACAGAGTCAGAAGGGCACTAGCGTAGTTTAAAGCTACTAAACCCCCTGCCTTCCTTTAGTTTATAGGTTCTGCGCTGTGTCTCAGTACAAGTCTGTAGGTTTCTCAAGTGTGTTTTTCTGAGTCATATTTATGCAATTTCTCTGCTATCCAAACCCAGCTGTTTTTTACCCCTCAGGGTTTAAAACTGGTCACTCAAATGAAACAGACCTTATTAGTCTTACATAACCCTTCTGTTATTAAATCTCATGCTCTGCCATCATGTTTCATTTGGCTGGGTTTAGCCACAGCTTTTGACCTGACTAATCTCAGGATACTTTTCCTAGGTAGCTCTAATCTAAGCTTACCTCAACCTTATCCATCCATATCCCCATGATTGTTTCAGGTTATATATATTTTTTCTGATCCCACTGACACTGGTTCCTCAAAGTGTTTTGAGGGTCACCTCTGCTCCCCCCTTCCCCCTCACAAGCCCTTTATTTTTCCATTTCTACTTGCAAAGTTATAATGATAGATTTAATTATGTGCCTTAAAATACCATTGACATACACATGAAGCTTAATATCTGCCTCTTTTCTTGCCCTTCTGAGAGGTTTTTTTATTATAAAAGAACTGCTTTGTTACCCATCCCCTTCCCCATTTTAAACTATTAGTTTCAGTTCATATTGGTTGATTCTCCCTGGGTGTGTCTACATGTAGAAATGCTGCAGGGTGAGAAACTCTAGGGTAAACCCACCCTGGGCAAGCATCTACATGTACAGGGATGCAGGAGCAGATCTGCTGCCCCTGGAAGCAATCTGCTTCTGCCCCCTCTGGCCCTGCACTGGCTTCCTACAGCAGGCCGGGGGAGCTCTAGACTCCCTCTGAGTGCTAACTCAGAGGCTGGCAGGGAGCATGGGGCCA